TGTGTGTGTGTAACATCAGAACTACAGAGGGGGCAGATCTGGTGCAACCTGCTGGGCCCCCTGCTGAGTTACAAAGTGAATACCTTATCACTTAAAGGCAGAGCTTCCACACACTGCACTCCATATTAACGGACGCGGCACACACACACACACACATTCAACAGCTCTATTCGTATCCATCAGCATCTTAAAGTCTTACTCTGACCAAACACACAATCGCAGAAATGGACCCTCATGCGTATGCCACACGACTAACGTTGGAGCCGAGATCAAAACACTCGACCGCTTTTAATGTTGAGACGCATGAAAACAAAACTCGCTGCCTCTTGTGCCGGGGAGCTGGAGTGAGGGAGGTGTGAGGTGCATGGAAGGAGGTAGAGTGGGAGAAGGGTGGAGGAAGTTGTGAGGGTTTGACAAGCTGGTCTGCATTCCTAATAATCTGCTCAGAGGATCAAAAAAAGTCTTATGGTTTAAAGATTAAAAAAAAAAGTTAAAGGATTCTGACAGAATGGTTAGTTCTTTAGCTTATGAGGTGTAAGTAAAGTTATGAAGTTGGTTGTTGTCATGGTAACACCTAACTGAATGCTAGGTGAGGTTAAAAGTGATGTCCTAGGAGGCAGAATGTCTCACTCGTTGAAGCAGATTGCATTAGTTTGAGTAATAGGTGAAAAAATTTGATTGGCCACCGTGAGTCCAACAGTTTATGTGATATGTTCACAAAGTTGTCCTTAAAATTTAATAGACGCGAACTGGACAACCCCATTCTCCATACAGCTGTAGATGTTTTTTTGTGTTCATAATTAAAATAAAGTCACTTTAGGATTACTTCATTAAAAAATTGTCTAAATCAGGGCTTAACTCGAAACATTTGGCAACAAAATATGTCAGATGTGTGCAGCTGTGCAGGCAGCTTTATTAACATCATGCCCTTTTGGTCACAGAATGCAATATTTTTGAAAGTCAGAACCTGCAGGTCGATTCCTTGAAACAAATTATTTTCCTGATGACCACGACCTTGGTGCACTTTGGTGCTG